AACTGGTACCCCTCATAGATCTTAACTGGTACCCCTATAGATCTTAACTGGTACCCTCATAGATCTTAACTGGTACCCTCATAGATCTTAACTGGTACCCCTCATAGATCTTAACTGGTACCCCTCATAGATCTTAACTGTACCCCTCATAGATCTTAACTGGTACCCCTCATAGATCTTAACTGGTACCCCTCATAGATCTTAACTGGTACCCCTCATAGATCTTAACTGGTACCCTCATAGATCTTAACTGGTACCCCTCATAGATCTTAACTGGTACCCCTCATAGATCTTAACTGGTACCCTCATAGATCTTAACTGGTACCCTCATAGATCTTAACTGGTACCCCTCATAGATCTTAACTGGTACCCCTCATAGACCTTAACTGGTACCCCTCATAGATCTTAACTGGTACCCTCATAGACCTTAACTGTACTCTCATAGATCTTAACTGGTACCCCTCATAGATCTTAACTGGTACCCCTCATAGATCTTAACTGGTACCCCTCATAGATCTTAACTGGTACCCCTCATAGATCTTAACTGGTACCCTCATAGATCTTAACTGGTACCGTCCATAGATCTTAACTGGTACCCTCATAGACTTAACTGGTACCCCTCATAGATCTTAACTGGTACCCCTCATAGATCTTAACTGGTACCCCTCATGATCTAATGATACCTATAGATCTTACTGGTACCCTCATAGACCTTAACTGGTACCCCTCATAGATCTTAACTGGTACCCCTCATAGACCTTAACTGGTACCTCTCATAGATCTTAACTGGTACCTCTCATAGACCTTAACTGGTACCCCTCATAGACCTTAACTGGTACCCCTCATAGACCTTAACTGGTACCCCTCATAGACCTTAACTGGTACCCCTCATAGACCTGACAAGTGATGCTTGACATCTGGATATATCTACGGGATCTATCTACATTCTACAGTGTAGATGGTATCTGGCATCACCCCTCTCCCCGCCACCCGGTGCCCCACACACGCACCAGGAGCTTGATCAATGAGGCTGTTAGTGCTGCTGTAGGCACCTAACACCCACCACCGCCACAGCCAGGATGGTGATTCTTAACACCTGCTGCATTGTTCCTTATGGATTATTATTATTATTATTATTATTATTATTATTATTATTATTATTATTATTATTGTTATTGTTGTTGTTGTTGTTGCTATTGTTGTTATTGTTTTGTAACTGTGTGTTTGTTGTCTTGAATTTGTGTTACTTCTGTGTTTGCATCTGTAGTTGTTTAAGTAACATTGTTTTGTGTTTGTGTGATTGTATTTTGATTTTTGTGTGATGACCCTGAATTTTGATTTTTGTTGTGATGACCCTGAATTTTGATTTTTGTGTGATGACCCTGAATTTTGATTTTTGTTGTGATGACCCTGAATTTTGATTTTTGTGTGATGACCCTGAATTTTGATTTTTGTTGTGATGACCCTGAATTTTGATTTTTGTGTGATGACCCTGAATTTTGATTTTTGTTGTGATGACCCTGAATTTAGATTTTTGTTGTGATGACCCTGAATTTAGATTTTTGTGTGATGACCCTGAATTTAGATTTTTGTGTGATGACCCTGAATTTTGATTTTTGTGTGATGACCCTGAATTTAGATTTTTGTGTGATGACCCTGAATTTAGATTTTTGTTGTGATGACCCTGAATTTAGATTTTTGTTGTGATGACCCTGAATTTAGATTTTTGTTGTGATGACCCTGAATTTAGATTTTTGTTGTGATGACCCTGAATTTAGATTTTTGTGTGACGACCCTGAATTTAGATTTTTGTGTGACGACCCTGAATTTAGATTTTTGTGTGACGACCCTGAATTTAGATTTTTGTGTGACGACCCTGAATTTAGATTTGTGTGACGACCCTGAATTTAGATTTTTGTGTGACGACCCTGAATTTAGATTTTTGTGACGACCCTGAATTTAGATTTTTGTGTGACGACCCTGAATTTAGATTTTTGTGTGACGACCCTGAATTTAGATTTTTGTGTGACGACCCTGAATTTAGATTTTTGTGTGACGACCCTGAATTTAGATTTTTGTGTGACGACCCTGAATTTAGATTTTTGTGTGACGACCCTGAATTTAGATTTTTGTGTGACGACCCTGAATTTAGATTTTTGTGTGACGACCCTGAATTTAGATTTTTGTGTGACGACCCTGAATTTAGATTTTTGTGTGACGACCCTGAATTTAGATTTTTGTGTGACGACCCTGAATTTAGATTTTTGTGTGACGACCCTGAATTTAGATTTTTGTGTGACGACCCTGAATTTTGATTTTTGTGTGATGACCCTGAATTTTGATTTTTATGTGATGACCCTGAATTTTGATTTTTGTGTGATGACCCTGAATTTAAATTTTTGTGTGATGACCCTGAATTTAAATTTTTGTGTGATGACCCTGAATTTAGATTTTTGTGTGATGACCCTGAATTTAGATTTTTGTGTGATGACCCTGAATTTTGATTTTTGTGTGATCCTGAATTTTGATTTTTGTGTGATGACCCTGAATTTTGATTTTTGTGTGATGACCCTGAATTTTGATTTTTGTGATGACCCTGAATTTAGATTTTTGTGTGATGACCCTGAATTTAGATTTTTGTGTGATGACCCTGAATTTTGATTTTTGTGTGATGACCCTGAATTTTGATTTTTGTGTGATGACTCTGAATTTTGATTTTTGTGATCACCCTGAATTTTGATTTTTGTGTGATGACCCTGAATTTTGATTTTTGTGTGATGACCCTGAATTTTGATTTTTGTGTGATGACCCTGAATTTCGTTGTGACGACAGAGTTTAAATTATTAGCTTTTTTTACAGTAGTGATTTTGCTGGGAATTTTGAACTTATTGGTGAGTAGTAGTGATCTTGCTAGGTATATTGATCTTTAGAATAGTCAAGATCTTGCTAGGAATATTGATCTTAAGAATAGTCAAGATCTTGCTAGGAATATTGATCTTAAGAATAGTCAAGATCTTACTAGGTATATTGATCTTAAGAATAGTCAAGATCTTACTAGGTATATTGATCTTTAGAATAGTCAAGATCTTGCTAGGAATATTGATCTTAAGAATAGTCAAGATCTTGCTAGGTATATTGATCTTAAGAATAGTCAAGATCTTACTAGGTATATTGATCTTAAGAATAGTCAAGATCTTACTAGGTATATTGATCTTTAGAATAGTCAAGATCTTGCTAGGAATATTGATCTTAAGAATAGTCAAGATCTTGCTAGGTATATTGATCTTAAGAATAGTCAAGATCTTGCTAGGAATATTGATCTTAAGAATAGTCAAGATCTTGCTAGGTATATTGATCTTAAGAATAGTCAAGATCTTGCTAGGAATATTGACCGTATTGGTTAGTAATAGTGATCTTATTTATATAGTAATGTTGATTATATATATATTAGTGGAAGTTTATATATCTTGTTATAAGCTGTTGTTATCAAGTGTAAATAACTTGGCAGTTATAAACATGGTTAGTGAACGACGTCATTGTTGTAGCTTCCTCGATGTCTACGACACACTGGACTCGTATTTTGTCTCAGTGTCGCCTTAAAGTTGAGAGAGAGAGAGAGAGAGAGAGAGAGAGAGAGAGAGAGAGAGAGAGAGAGAGAGAGAGAGAGAGAGAGAGAGAGAGAGAGTGATGTACAATCACCACCACTTTTGTGCTGGTCCACAACACTGCTTCTCTTGTCGCAAATTTTTTTCTGTAATTTCAGAAATGTCAGAGAAACGCCTCCAGTATGTCTTGGGGGGGGGGGGTAGGAAACTGGCATCGACATTAAGTAATAAAGTGAGGTAGTAGTGAAGTAAGAGCAAAAAGTAGGTAGAATAATGTAGTATCTCCTTAAAGTGTGTTGTAGCTGTCTCAGGAATTGTAAGTTAGATGCAGATACCTTAAATTATTGTAAGTTAGGGCAGATGTTTTGACGTTTTAGAGATGGTTAGTAGATGTTTTGACGTGGTAGGGATGGTTAGTAGATGTTTTGACGTGGTAGGGATGGTTAGGAGATGTTTTGACGTGGTAGGGATGGTTAGGAGATGTTTTGACGTGGTAGGGATGGTTAGGAGATGTTTTGACGTGGTAGGGATGGTTAGGAGATGTTTTGACGTGGTAGGGATGGTTAGTAGATGTTTTGACGTGGTAGGGATGGTTAGTAGATGTTTTGACGTGGTAGGGATGGTTAGGAGATGTTTTGACGTGGTAGGGATGGTTAGGAGATGTTTTGACGTGGTAGGGATGGTTAGGAGATGTTTTGACGTGGTAGGGATGGTTAGGAGATGTTTTGACGTGGTAGGGATGGTTAGGAGATGTTTTGACGTGGTAGGGATGGTTAGTAGATGTTTTGACGTGGTAGGGATGGTTAGTAGATGTTTTGACGTGGTAGGGATGGTTAGGAGATGTTTTGACGTGGTAGGGATGGTTAGGAGATGTTTTGACGTGGTAGGGATGGTTAGGAGATGTTTTGACGTGGTAGGGATGGTTAGGAGATGTTTTGACGTGGTAGGGATGGTTAGTAGATGTTTTGACGTGGTAGGGATGGTTAGTAGATGTTTTGACGTGGTAGGGATGGTTAGGAGATGTTTTGACGTGGTAGGGATGGTTAGGAGATGTTTTGACGTGGTAGGGATGGTTAGGAGATGTTTTGACGTGGTAGGGATGGTTAGGAGATGTTTTGACGTGGTAGGGATGGTTAGGAGATGTTTTGACGTGGTAGGGATGGTTAGGAGATGTTTTGACGTGGTAGGGATGGTTAGGAGATGTTTTGACGTGGTAGGGATGGTTAATAGATGTTTTGACGTGGTAGGGATGGTTAGGAGATGTTTTGACGTGGTAGGGATGGTTAGGAGATGTTTTGACGTGGTAGGGATGGTTAGGAGATGTTTTGACGTGGTAGGGATGGTTAGATGTTTTAATATGTTATAATTGACGCTGTTTTGGGTAATCTCTTGCAGAGTGTGAGCGAGGGGAGACTGACGATGAGGGGATTGAACGAGATTCCGGGGACTCTGAAGACGAGATGGATCACAGTGCTAACTTCACCATGTCCGAGGCACTCCAGGTTTGTGTGTGTGTTTAGTTACTAGTTGTAAAAGGCGCTTGTCGGTAGACACTTGGTCTGTTTCGTGTATGTGTGCTCACCTATTGTATATTATGTGTGTATGTGTGTTAGCGGGGGTGCGAACTCACCTCCTAGACCACTTTGATCTTGTACCTTGTCATATCTACTCTGGAAGCTGTGTATTGAGTTTCCATCCACTACTGCGTCCTCCAAGTCATTCCACTTGTCAACCAGCCTGAGAGTAAAGAAATACTTCCTGACATCCCTGTGGTTCATCTGTGTCTTCAGCTTCCACCTGTGTCCCCTTGATCCTGGTCTTCTTTATTCAGACAACCTGTCCCCATCAGCCCTGTCAACTTTCTCTCAATATTTTGTGTAGATATTAATCATGTGGTCCCCTGTCTTTCCTCTAAGGTTCAGTTCCTTCAACTTCAACATTCCTCTCAGTTCTGGTATTAGTCTGGTTGCAAACCTTTTGATCTTTTCCAGTTTCTTTATCTGCTTCACCAGGTGTGGGCTCCATGCTGGGGCAGAGTACTCAGTGACTGACCTAACATATGTCGTGTATAAGATTCTGAAGAATTCTTTATTCAGATTTCTGAATGTTATTCTGAGGTTTGCTAATCGTGCATATACCGCCGACGTTATATGATTTATGATCAATTCTGGTGATATGCTTGGTGTTAGGTTCACCCCCGGGTCCTTTTCACCATTTGATATTCGTAGCTTCACAAATGCTGTACTCTGTGTCTGGTCTTCTTTCTCATCCAAATCCTGACCTGGCAGTTGCTTGGGTTGATCTCTAGAAGCCACGTGTTTGACCACATGTACAGTCCGTTGAGATCTCTGCAGTTTATCACCACTTTTCTGTTCTTATTCTTCTGGTTAGTTTATACGTCATCCGCACAGTGTATGATGTAAATCTCATCTGGTAGGTCATTCATGTATATTAGGAACAGTAGTGGTCCTAACACTGATTCTTGTGGTACCCCACTTATTACTCTCTCTCTCATTCTAATGTTTCATCCCTGACTGTTACTCTCTGCCTTCTGTCATTTAGGTACTGTGCTCCTTGACCAGCTGGAGCACTCTGACTGTTAACCAGCTGGAGCACTCTGACTGTTAACCAGCTGGAGCACTCTGACTGTTAACCAGCTGGAGCACTCTGACTGTTAACCAGCTGGAGCACTCTGACTGTTAACCAGCTGGAGCACTCTGACTGTTAACCAGCTGGAGCACTCTGTTAACCAGCTGGAGCACTCTGACTGTTAACCAGCTGGAGCACTCTGTTAACCAGCTGGAGCACTCTGACTGTTAACCAGCTGGAGCACTCTGACTGTTAACCAGCTGGAGCACTCTGACTGTTAACCAGCTGGAGCACTCTGACTGTTAACCAGCTGGAGCACTCTGACTGTTAACCAGCTGGAGCACTCTGACTGTTAACCAGCTGGAGCACTCTGACTGTTAACCAGCTGGAGCACTCTGACTGTTAACCAGCTGGAGCACTCTGACTGTTAACCAGCTGGAGCACTCTGACTGTTAACCAGCTGGAGCACTCTGACTGTTAACCAGCTGGAGCACTCTGACTGTTAACCCGCTGGAGCACTCTGACTGTTAACCAGCTGGAGCACTCTGACTGTTAACCAGCTGGAGCACTCTGACTGTTAACCAGCTGGAGCACTCTGACTGTTAACCAGCTGGAGCACTCTGTTAACCCTGCCGCCTCTTCTTCTAACTCTGGTGTGATATCATATCAAATACTTTTTAACAACCATTGGTGATGTTAACTAGTCACAATGATTTTGTTACCCCCAGCTATTGTACTAGTCTCATCAGTTCTTTTGTTGTGCTGATACTCTACAGTATCTGTTGGTTTGTTCTATCTGCAGTACCTTACCTGCAGAGTATTCAGCACCCCCGCGGCTCGGTCCCAGACCGGGCCTCGGGGGCGCTGAATACGTGTGAAGGGACAAAAGTTTTCAGTATCCCACCTTCTTACCTACGACGGATCACTAACAGACCTCTGGCCGTCTTCAAGAAAAAAACTGAACAGGTTTCATGATCACACAGGCTGTGGTGTTTATGTTGATCTTAGTGCAGCTGCCCCCAACATCCTAGCTGATCAGGCCATCCACCGGGAGGCCTGGTCTGGGACCGGATCGCAGGGGTGTTGACCCCCTCCAACATCCTTCAGGGTAGATGGCGAATAATGGTAACATGTGTGACGGGTGTTAGTAGTGCCAACTGTGTGTACTAACATGTGTGACAGGTGTTACTGGTGCCAGTAGTGTGTACTGACATGTATGGCAGATGTTAGTAGTGCCAGCAGTGTGTACTAACATGTGTGACAGGTATTACTGGTGCCAGTAGTGTGTACTGACATGTATGACAGATGTAAGTAGTGCCAGCAGTGTGTACTAACATGTGTGACAGGTGTTAGTGGTACCATCCGTGTACTAACGTGTTCCTCCTGCCTGCAACAGGTGTGTGAGAGCCGCCTGAGCAACGGAGGGCTGGAGGGCGGTGTGTGTGAGCACTACAGGGCCGTGGTGAGGGCCCTGGTGGCTGAGGCCATAGATCTGGCCTCCTTCCTGCAGAACGTGGCCCTGGGTAGCAAGTTTGCCACTCAGACCTCAGACCTCCTCAGCTCTGAGCACGACCTCCGGGAACTCCAGTGTGAAGACTGGGTTAGTCACTCTCAATCTAGTAACTTCATGTGTGTTAGTCTAACTTAATGTATCTTCTAACTGTACTAATGTATCTTCCAACTATATTAATGTATCTTCTAACTGTACTAATGTATCTTCTAACTGTACTAATGTATCTTCTAACTGTACTAATGTATCTTCTAACTGTACAAATGTATCTTCTAACTATACTAATGTATCTTCTAACTGTACTAATGTATCTTCTAACTATATTAATGTATCTTCTAACTGTACTAATGTATCTTCTAACTGTACTAATGTATCTTCTAACTGTACTAATGTATCTTCTAACTGTAGTAATGTATCTTCTAACTGTACTAATGTATCTTCTAACTGTACTAATGTATCTTCTAACTGTACAAATGTATCTTCTAACTGTACAAATGTATCTTCTAACTGTACAAATGTATCTTCTAACTGTACAAATGTATCTTCTAACTGTACTAATGTATCTTCTAACTGTACTAATGTATCTTCTAACTGTACTGATGTACTTACAGTGTAATTCTTAGTAACTTAGCACTTGCAGTAATAACTTATCGTATTGTTATTGTGTGTTAAGCCGCACACATGCAACACCTGGGGTACCTTTGATAAGAAACATGATGTGATGTAGGTCAACTGTGCTTGTGAGGTCAAAAGGGTGACCTAACTAACCAGTAAATTGTCACGCCCCATGCCTTGGCAGATAGGTGTTAGACACGCCTGGCGCCGTAACTCTCAGGTCTTTTGTAACAGCCTGGTTGACCAGGCAAGCACCAGACGAGCCTGGCCCATGGCCGGGCTCCGAGAGTAGCGAAACTCTGGAAACTCTTCAAAGGTATGGAAACAGATGGTGTGACCCATGGAGGGTGTACCCCCTAAACCTTAAACCTGGGGTTAAGGGGGGATGTAGACAGGACGATATAAGGTCTAGGAAACAGCTAGAGAGGAGATTCACACCTGGGTGTCTTTAATAAGACACATGTGCAACACCTGGGTGTCTTTGATAAGACACATGTGCAACACCTGGGTATCTTTGATAAGACACATGTGCAACACCTGGGTGTCTTTGATAAGACACATGTGCAACACCTGGGTGTCTTTGATAAGACACATGTGCAACACCTGGGTATCTTTGATAAGACACATGTGCAACACCTGGGTGTCTTTGATAAGACACATGTGCAACACCTGGGTGTCTTTGATAAGACACATGTGCAACACCTGGGTGTCTTTGATAAGACACGTGCAACACCTGGGTGTCTTTGATAAGACACATGTGCAACACCTGGGTGTCTTTGATAAGACACATGTGCAACACCTGGGTGTCTTTGATAAGACACATGTGCAACACCTGGGTGTCTTTGATAAGACACATGTGCAACACCTGGGTGTCTTTGAGAGATGTTTGACGAAGAGAAATACAACTGATGATAGGGGAACCAGCGAGGTGGAAACACTGGAGTGATGTTAGTAGATGTGAGAGGAAATGTAAAATAAAGCAAGGGGGGGCCGTGGACACAGTAAGAGAACACTGCATCAACATCCTTGGTCCCTGACTGTTCAACACTATTCTAGAAGTTATCAGAAACACTACTGGGCTTGATAAAGCTCCTGGATAGCGAAACGTTGCCACAGTAACATGTCTTGTTAGTCGCACCTGTGTTCATTTACCTAACTTAAGAAACTTGATAGATATCTCTAAGTGGCTGATCAACTAAGCTATGATACATATACGGCCAGCGTGCCGCCAGCACCAACAGCCTGGTTGACCAGGCAAGCGGCAAAACATTGTTAGTGTGAATTCTTGTCCTAGTGTGAGAAGCCTGGGAGGATCCCCCTGGGGGTTTCAAGGGACATCATTCACTCTGAATAATCCAGCAAGTCTGCTCAGCCCAGCTGATAACAGCCTCTCGTGACGTCACCCACCTTCCGCCACCTGATTGGCCGGGATTCCCCGGACATCCCCAGATCGCTGGCTGATTGGTTGGGCTCTGCTTGGGCGTCATGGTTGCCATGGTGACGTCCAGGTGGGCGGGATGAGCCGCGGATCTCAGCTGTTGGGCGACTTTAAAATTAGCGACCAGCCGTAAACGACACATATTTCTCTAAGATAACATCGACTAAAGTTGGTCGACTCTGGTGGAGGACGATGATAATGATGATAAAATGTGTATTATTGGGAGAGCAACTGTGAGCAGCTTGTGTAGGGGGGGGAGGGGGAGGGCAGCCATTGATTCTTACAAGACTCGTCCCCTCCCCCCATCTCTTCGTATGTCCCCTCTCCTGACCCCCACTCCGTTATCCCCCCCCCCATCACTGTACGAAATTGTGATAGAATACTTTTTAAAGTTATTTGGTTCCAGCCTTTAAATAAATTCTAGTTAACAGTTTATAGGAAAGAACGATAACTAACTTTATAGATGCTGCAAGAATTTAACACAAAACTATATATATATCGTGCCGAATAGGTAAAATTGGTCAATTAGCAAGAACTCGTTTAAAATTAAGTAATTTCTAAAATTTTCTCTTATTTAAAGATGTATTTTTTTTCATTTATGTTAATGTAAAAATTAATAATTTAGTACCAAAAGAACCTTAGTAAACTTACCTACCTTGTTATAACAAGTGCAATTTAATTTAGCCTAATCCAACTAAATATATTTTAGATAAGTTTACAATAATTTAATAATAAACAAACACAATGAAATATATTTTTAACGTTAGGTTCAGAATGATTTTTGCGAAATTAGTGCATACACAAATTTTCACTCGCCTTATTCGGCAAGAAGAACGTTGCTATTTAAGCCAAAATCACAGGAGTTATCTAATCGGCATGACACACACATCATGTTTGTCCGTCGATTCGACGAGGACCATCTAGTCATCCTGGGGTTGAAGTTGTTGGTTACGCAATGACTTGTCAGGCCAATCCGCGCACGAAACGTTCTCTGACAGTGTGGACAGGGAAGGGTGGCGGCATCGAGGGGTCTGATGGCTCTGGTCTTCCTCGCCTGCCTACGCTGTTCAGCTAGTGAGATTCTGCTTGCCTCGCAGGATGTTGCCCCTTTCTGGACAACTGTTCGCCAGTCATTCCTGTCCTGAGCTATCAGCTCCCACATGGTGTGGTTGATGTTGAAAGCTTTCAGAGCAGTCTTAAGGGTGTCCTTATAGCGCTTCTTTTGGCCTTCTTGAGAGCGCTTTCCATGCTGCAGTTCGTCAAATAAGAGTTTCTTTGGCAGCCGGTGGTCTGGCATGCGAGCAACGTGACCTGCCCAGCGAAGCTGTGTCTGCATTAGGATGGTGTAGATGCTAGGCAAGCCAGCTGTAGTCAGCACTTCTGTGTCTGGGATCTTATCTTGCCATTTGATGCCAAGAATTTTTCTGAGCCGTGTGGTGTGAAAGTGGTTCAACTTTCTGGAGTGACGTTTGTAGACAGTCCAGGTTTCGCAGCCATAGAGAAGTTTGGTGAAGGACTATGGCTCTGTACACCTTGATCTTGGTGCTTGTGGTGATGCCTCTTCGGTTCCATACATTCTTGTGGAGCCTGCCGAAGGTGGCACTGGCTTTGGCAAGTCTGGCATTCACCTCATCATCGATGACAACGTTTCTGGAAAGGGTCACACACACACACACACACACACACACACCACACACACACACACACACTACACACACACCAACCACACACACAACACTACACACACAACACCACACACACACACACCACACAACACACACACACACACACACACACACAACACTACACACACACACTACACACACACACAACACACACACACACTACACACACACACACACACACACCACACTACACACACACACACACACACACACACACACACACACACACACACTACACACACACACTACACACACACACATACACACACACACACTACACACACACACACACACACACACACTACACACAACACTACACACACACACACTACACACACACACTACACACACACATACACACAACTACACACACTACACACCACACTACACACACACTACACACACACTACACACACACACACACACACACACACTACACACAACACACACACACACACACACACACACACACACACCACTACACACACACACACACACACACACACCACACACACACACCACACACACCACACACACACTACACACACACACACTACACACACAACACACACACACACACACACACACACTACACACACACACAACTACACACACACAACTACACACACACAACTACACACACACACTACGCACTACACACTACACACACACACACACACACTACACACACACACTACACACACTACACACACACTACACACACTACACACACACACTACACACACACACACACACACACACACACACACACTACACACACACACACACACTACACACACACACACTACACACACACACTACACACACTACACACACACTGTCAGCATAGTTGCTGAATCCCCTTACATGTGTTGTATAGATTAGCAAAGCATTATAGTATCATCCATGTGCTTTATATAGAAGATCCCTTAGGCCTGTGACTGTATGACGTCACGGGATACAATTTGAGTGTGAGGCGAGCTACCTCGGCCTCAGTCGGCGTATAACATCCAGCTATGCAGTGACACGGCAGGCTGGGCTCCATCTCCCATTATCACAGTCTGACAATATATATCGTTACCATCCAACTAGTGTGTCTACCTTCAACCCTCAAATCTCCTTTAAGAACCCCTACGAACCACACACACACACACACACACACACACACACACACACACACACACACACACACACACACACACACACACACACAACACAGTACACACACACACACAACACAGTACACACACACACACACAACACACACACACACACACACACACACACACACACACACACACACTCACAACACACTACACACACACACTACACACACACACTACACACACACA